GGGCAAGGTGAGTGAGGGGCTCACTTTTCCCGTAGCGGTGCTCCTCCACGTTCCACACCGTGCTCTCGTGGAAGCCCCGGGACAGCTTCTCCCCAACCACCTCCAGCTGCCGGAACCCCCAGTCGGGGAGGTGCGCCCCGCTCAGCTGCCCGCATGCACGGGAGAAACACAAGCATTACGGGAAAGGCCAACTCCTGCGGGCTCAGGCACAGGCTGGCTGGGAGAGGGGTGTCCCATGCCCAGGGTCTCGTCCCAACTCCGAGAGGGGACAACCGCAGCCACCCCTCAGGGTGAGAGGAATGTGGGCACTCCACCAGGACCCGCCGCGGGAGAGGCGCGGGCACCTTTAGGATGGCGGACGTGTTGACGTGCACAAAGCGCACCTCGGACATGATGGTCTTCCAGACATCCCTGTCGGTGTCTCTGTTGACAATCTCCTGCCACGGGGGACAGTGTGGATTACTGACCTCCGTGGCCCCGAGCCCCTCACACAGTGATGCTCACTGAAGCTGCACAAGGGGATATGCCAAGGGGGCGAGAGGGCGGTCCTGGGCGCCCCCTCGAGATGCCGTGAGGGGGCTCTGAGAGCCCCTGCTTGTCTCAGACCCTCACTCAGCAAGCTTGGAGGGGATGCGGATGCAGCCCTGGAGTGCTGTGTGAGGGACCGGGCAGGACCAAGCCCCCAGGCCCTGCCCCGCCTGCAGAGTCAGTCTAGAACTCAGGTCCGCTCGCTCACAGCGGGTCAGGCAGGGACGCTGCCTCTGACCTTCTACTGGGAGCTGAGTGCTTAACCACGCGCCACCAGGGCTCCTCTGGTGTGGAATCGTAAAGAACCGCCAGTGCCCGCGCGGTGCCTGGCACCACCCTATGTGACCCCTCGGCACCAGAGGCCCCTGACACTGTGGGCAGGTGGCCCTCCCAGTGCCAGCCCTGGGGCTGGGGGAGGAGGCCAGGTGGGCATTGTCACAGAGAGCAGAAAGGGGGCTTCAGCAGGACCTGGGGGTGGGAGCAAGGGCGACTGAAAGATTCAGGATGGGCAGGTGCACAGAACCCCCCCTTTCTCATGAGGACACCCCCTTTCAGAACCTCTCCTTGGGAAGTGGTGCGGGAAAGTGCGAGTTCTGGCCCTGGTAGGCAGGAGCTCACCAGTCTCCAGAGGTTCTGGGCGGGCATGGAGATGTTGTGGTCCACGTAGCAGGAGACCTCCTGGGCGTGGGGGCTCAGGGGGGCCGCCACGTCGTGCCTGGAACAGCAGAAGAGGCTCTGAGAGGTCTTCAGCCTGGCTTTCTGCTGGTAGCCTCTGCCAGGGTTTGCGGTTCCGTTATGGCGCAAGAAGCCACCTTTGGGCTCTCGGGTCAGCTCGGCCCTCAAGGCCGGCCTGGGCGGGGTTGGCAGTCACAGGATGAGAATGCGGGCAGGGCAGTTCTGGGAACCACATCCCCAAACCAGCCTTGGGGGACCGAGGGGGTTTCTTTCAGCCCTGGACAAGGAGTCTGCAGGCACTGTGACCCATGTCTCAGCCGAGGCCCCGAGTCATCTCTGACGGGGAGCAGCTGGCCCCGGGTCATGTGGGTGGGAGGGCAGAGGGTCACTCACGTGTTGAGGAGGCGGGCGGTCATGCCGTGGACCAGCTGCACCGTGTCACCATGTCGGATGGGCCTCGGGGGGTTGCTTACCACCAGCTGGTGTCTGCAGAGAAGCGGGAGGCAGTGCAGGCTGGATCCCGGGGCTCTGGTCCCTCAGAACGGCAGCCCCGCCCTTGGGCTGCAGCGTCTCTGCCGCAGGCAGCATGGAATGGGGGGCTTCCACGGCAGCCTGGACCGCCCTGGTCCTGCTCCGGCAGGGCAGCGGTGTGCCGTCTGTGAACACGCACGTTGGCGCGGAGAGCACACCTGGCAAGCCTTTCAAGGAGAGCTGCTCCTGCTCGCTCGCCACATGTGTGCACTGCCCAGCACGGCCCCAGCACCGGGCTGGTGGCTGCACACGAGACACATGTGGTCCGTGGCCCTCACGCTTCTGCAAAGCCTGAAATCTCAACCCACTGTTGTCACGTCGATGCGGACTCACCGCCACCCTAGGAGGCAGGGCCTGGCTGCCCTGTGGGGTTGCCAGGCTGCAATCTATGAGGAAGCACGTGGCTTCCTCTCGCAGAGCGACCGGTGGGTGCAACCACCGCCACCAAACTGGAGGCAGCTGCAGAACCACTGGGCTTCCAGGCACCACAAGCCCCTCGGGGGCAGGGGATACAGGGAGCAGACAGGGACAGCAAGGGAGGCTGAGACGGTACGTGTGCAAGGCCACCTCCCTGAGGAGTAGCCTTCGAGCTAAACCAAGGAGCCAGGCAGGAAGCAGCACTGCAGGCAGGGGCAGGGGCTGGTGCCCAGTACCCATCAGGTCTGTCTTGCTCTAGAACAGGGTCGGCAGGTGAGTCCTGTGAACAAGAGCGGGCCAGGAGGACCCGGCTTCGGCAGCAGGAGATGGCGTGAGGCCTGCAGGCTGTCAGGAGCAGACTTGATTCTGCGAGCTCAGGGACGGGTCTGAGCAGGAGCACCTGGGGGCATTTATGCTGTACTGTGCTGTACCACACCAGGGCTATTGGATGCTGGAGGGCAGGAAAGGAAGGAAGATGGCCAGGGAGGGGAGGGGCAGGGGGCGGCTGGTTTAACATCTCCTTGAGGCAGGATCCACAGGACTTACTGATGAGTGAGATGTAGGGAGACAGAGAGAGGATGACCCCCATCTTCGAGGTCTGAGCGAGGCTGAGGAAGGGACCCTGTTTTAGTGTGGAAGGGAAAAGTGGGGGCAGAGGGGCTCTTGACACATGCCTGTAAAACACCCAAAAGGAGACACCATCTGAGTGTGGCCCCTGAGGAGGGACCTCTGTGGACCTCAAGAAAGCCTCCCCCTCATGGCCGTCCAGTCGACCCTGACCCCTAGAGACCACCTTGGGTAGAACTGCTGGCCCCGTGGGTGTCTGACACCCGTAACTCTTTAAAGGAGTGGAAAGCCTCATCTTCCTCCTGTGGAGCAGCTGGTGGTTTCGAACAGCTGACCTTGCAGTTAGCAGCCCAACTCGTAACCACTGCACCACCAGGGCTCCCGCGCAACAGGCCTAGGGTAGGGGGAGCGTGGACAGACTTGGGAGTGCAGGCAGGCTCAGGGGCTGGTCCAAGCAAGTCAAGAGCAGGTGGGCTCTGGACTCACCTCCCGGGGTCCTTTACAATCCACCAGTTGTTGACATCTTTGAAGGGGTAGCAGGTCACCTGCTGCTGGTGGGAGCTGCCCCGGCCATTCTCATATCTGTGTGAAGAGGGCAGGGTGGCAATGACAGGGGCCTGCGAAGGGCCAGAGATGGGCCTGGGCTGCAGCCCTTCCTCCCTGAGCTCAGGTGCTCTGGGCAGACTGCAGAGGACACGGAGGTGAGACCTCCCAGGGAAGGAAAGTGTGGCCCCGATGGCACCGTGGCCCAGGGGGACCAGTCTGCTCGTGGGAGGTGGAGCTGGTGCCTCAGAGGGCACCGCAGGACGATAACCAAACCCGCGGGGACCAGGCCTCGTGCTCAGCCCCTCGTCCAGCCAGGAAGGCTGTCAGACGACAACGTGGCACCAAGGCCTTTGCTATGCGGCACACCCTTACTTACATCATGGGGTAGGTGCTCTGGTGGGAATGAAGCCAGCAGGGCACAGGCTTGCCAAAGACACTCTTCAGAGTCACCTGGGAGCCGTAGGCCACCTCCAGGGGCTGGCCTCGAGTGATCCGCGCCAGTCCTCCCTGTGACAGAGCACACGGAGCCCAGCCTCCTGAACGGCCAGGCGACCCCCCTGGGGTGCCAGCTCAGGTGGCTCCACCTCTGGGCGGGCAGGGGGGTGGGGGGAGTAAGGGTGCAGTCACACTGCGTGACACCATCCCAGTCCTGGCTGTGGCTGGGGACACCTCCCAGGGCCGCCTCCGTTAGCTCTTACAAGCATCTGTGAGACAAGAGAGCTCATGGAGACGGGGTAAAGGAGGGCCCTCGCCCCAACCCACGCAGCTTCCAGAGCGGGGTGAAAAGCAGGCCCGTCAGACCCTAGATATTGGGCTCTAACGTGCTCGACTGCCACACCTGCTCTTAGTGCCCAGTGCCCGCACGTAAGCGGCCCTGGGGAACCTCTCGTTTCAGCCAGCCCCGACCTTCAGATCCTCCAAGCTCACCCCTCACATCTCAGAGCCAACCCCTTCCTCCCTTGCAGACCCCTCAGTGAGCTCAGCGGCCGTCGGTAGGCCCCTCCTGGTGGTCTTTGAGCCCTTTCTCGAGGGAGCACGGCGCCCCACCGCTCACCTCCAAGCTGGCCTGGAAAGCGCTGGACATGACTTGGTCGTGGGGCCCCGAGCGGAAGAGGAGGATCAGGTGGATGTAGAAGAAAAGTAGGTACATGAGGGCCGGGATGACCAGCAAGGCCACTGCTCTGGCCAGCAGATGACAGCACACACAGGCCTGCGAGAGTGCAGAGAAACACTGCCTGCTCCGCCCAGTGGGTGCCCCCCACCCCCATGTCCCCAGGGCGCTTACGTTCGACAAGGTCTGGTCTCCCACCAGGTGCCAGGCGTGGGCAGCAGCAACGCTGAGCACAAGCAAGTACGTAAAAACACCCATGTATTTTATGCTGCAAAGAGAGGATGGAAACTTACACGAGGCAGGAGGAGGAGGAGGCACAGGAGGGGAGGAGGAGGAAGGAGAGAACTGGTCTAAGACAAGTGGCTCTAACTCACCCCACGGTGCAGGAACACGCGACTCCTGTCAGCACCAACCAAAACCACCAGCTTAGAGAGAAAGGGCTGGAGGGAGAGAGACGGGGAAACAACTCCAGGAATGCTCCTGAAGATTGCCCTGGGTGAGTCCCGGCGTGTACACGTTGCTCAGTGTGAAACTGCTCTGAAGATAACACCAACACAAGCCCCTGCTCTGCACACCCTCACCTGACTCACAACCCTGACCCTAAAAGGAACCGCTCCCCAGTGGCCACAGAGGCACCATTTCTCAGACGCAGCGGCCTCTCTGCAGGGTCAGCTGGCTCTCCTGGGCGCAATCAGCGTGAGCCCAGCCTCGACAAGCTGCAGCCCTGGCAGACTTTCCTGCATTGCAGTTCCAGGAAAATGGGGGATATGTATCAAGGAGCGAGCCAAGGACCAAGCTGGGTCTAAAAGTCCAAACTCGGTGCCAGCGACTCCATGCTGAATCACAGGGACCCCGTAGGGCAGGGTGAACGGCCCGTGAGGGTTTCCGAGACTGGAACGGTTTACAGGAGTGGAAAGTCTCGTCTTTCTCCCACGGAGCAGCTGGTGGTTTTGAACTGCTGACGCTGTGTATCGCAGCCCAGCTCGTAACCACTAACCACCGCAGGCACACAAAGCCGGGGCATGCGTTCCCATACCTGTGCTGCTGGAGGTTGGAGAACTTCAGGTAGCACAGTACAGACAGCAGGTTGAAAAATATGAGCAGGGCCTCCAGGAGGATGAGCCTGGACTGGGTGATGAGCGCGTTCTCTGGTGGAGAGAGAGGAGGAGGGTGAAGGCCCACTTCACCGTGACAAGGGGCACCAGCTCAGTGCCTCGGACCAGGCAGGGTGACATCCGCAAAGGAGTGGCGGGCAGGAGGGGGGTGCAGAGGTCAGCGATTCGGGATGAATCCCGATGGTGGCAACCTGGCTGTGTGAACGCTCAACCGTTACATAGGCGGAGTCCCTCGGAGAGAGTTGCACTCAACGAACCATCGTGCCTACTTTCTTGGCTGACTTTTCATCGGGGACATCTCATTGGTTTATACACCTGAGCTGAAACAGTCTTTCTGAAGGACGAGCCCCTGCTAATTCCTGGGCCATGGCGATGGAGGGGACCAGGCGGCTACCGCTACGGGCAGGCCTGGCTGCGGGTCTAGGTGTGCTCATGGGGACCCGACGGTTTGGGCAGCAGCACATTCATGGGCTGCACTCCAAGTCGGACCACAGAAGAACGGAGGTCTGAAGGTAGCCACCCCGCAGCCGGAGGTGCGGCAGGGCCTCCCAAGCCCTCCGAGCCCTCCCCAGGGCTCGGTTCTGGCCCTCGACGCAGCGAGGAGGCAGGGCGGCCCGGGCCTTACCTATGAGCATCAGCAGCGCGGCTCCCATGGCGGCGCAGTGAGAGAAGCGGAGTTCCAGCACTATCTGGTAGGCCATGGGCACGGAGAAGGCCCCAGCGAGAGCCGGCAGCAAGCGCAGGGACCACACAGGCACGTTGCTGCTGTACTCTGGAAGGAAGGGCAACCACACAGTGGCGCTGAGAACAAGGGGAGTCGGGGGGCTTGTAAACAGCCTGGCCTCCCACCGTGGTGCAGAACTAGGAGACTGGGCACCACCTCAACAGTCCGGCGGGCAGACGCGGGCTGAGGCTTTGCAGTCAGCTTCCTTTCTGTACTGAGAAACGGCCCCAGGTGGGGCCCAGCGACGAGGGATAAGGGTTCTGAAATCAGTTCACTCTTTTAAACCTGTTTAGCCCTTCACGCCACCTGTTTCCAAAAACACGGTGGCAGCACGCAACGTTTTTCTTTTTTCTCTAACGACAACAGAAATGTATTTATTTACTAACCGTTTTATTGGCACTCAATCCGCCTGCCACACAATTCAATAGTTCAATCACACCCCAAAGTGTTGTACAATCATTAGCACCATCAACTTTGGAACTTCTGCTCCCAGCCCACCCCCATGGTCAAATCACTTTTAAAATAAGTTGTGTAGTCACCATCAGTTCTAGAGTGTTCCCTCCCGCCTCCCACATACATGGTTTGCCCCCCCCTCACCCTCCCTGTCTCCTCACCACCCCCCTACCTCCCCTATAAGCCCCTGCATCACTTCCAATCTCTCTGCCTCTACTCCTGTGCTTTGCAAACTGGAAAACCCAACAGAAACAGAAAACAGAAAGGGAAAAAAAGTGGTAAGGCTAAAGTAATAAAAATACAGAGATAAAAATAGTGGGGAAGAAAGAAAAGACCACGGTGAATCTTTAAAAGAACCAGGGAGGAATTTTTGTCATGGAACAGGCAAGATTCTTGCACCTAGAAGAAATCTTGTGGGGATCTGCCAGCGGCTTCATCTGAGCAGACACTCTGCAGAGGGGTGTGGGCCCCCACGGTCCCCCACAGCCTGTGACAAATTGGGTGTTCACACTTTAGGCTCTGATACGTTTCCCGTCGTCATATTTGGATGTTGCTGTTGTCATCACTGGCTCGCACAAGCTTCTTCCATGTGGACTTGGTTGACTCCTCACTTAGATGGCTGCTGGTTTGAATACGCGCCTTTTAAAAGACCCCAGACACTATTCCGATTGACAGCCAGGCACCATCTGCTCTCTCCCCCTGCTGTCGCCCCCTTCTCTTCAGTGATCATTTCATGGAGGCGAGGATGGAGCAGGCCATGTTCTTGGATTGGGGCTGGAGCTCAGGCCCCCGCCCCCCCCTCCCCCAATCCAGCTGCTTGTCCCTGGGCTTCGCATGGCTCAGGTTGACTTTGGCGGGCCTGTTTTTGTCAAAGCACCCGTCAAAACAGGTAAGTAACTCGTTGTCAACCACCCCTCTGGGGAATAAGGCACTTGTCCCGCCCTGAGTGCTTCCAATGTCACATCACCGTGGACACTGCCGAGAGGCGTCTCTGCCAGGACAGCCCCACCGTGGGCTGCAGCCTGGAGCTGTTGCCCCCACAGGTCCATCTCCCCTCCGACTGAGCGCTAAGCGCGGGGGTTGGGGTTGGGGAAGCACAAAACTTGATGTGCGAATGATGAGCTCAGCTGTGACAGGAGACAACCAAGCAGGAAACTCACTGCTCTGACTCACGGTGACCCTACGGGGCAGGTGGAACCTGTAACTACATGGGGACAGGAAGTCTCCTCTTCCTCCATGCCACCCGGGCTCTGTCACATGAGAAACACAGCAAAAGCGAGTGAGGGAATGACCAACGTCATAAACCCCAAGACATCTACCAGACGTGCCTAACGCCTCCCTTAGACGCCTTTCATTGACTTCACTTTGGACTCCGACTGGTAAACTACCCTTAGAACCCCCAGACAAGCTACTGCAGCTCCACGCTCACAGGTGCAGATGTTTACGACTGGGGAATGAATGTGATCTTTTACCTGCTCCGATTCGGTTCCACAAGAAGTTACCATCAAATCCTCCTAGGTAACCTACAACAGAAGAGTCCTCGGTTACTGACCGCATTCAGCAAGTAGTTGGGGAGAACCGAACCAAGGCAGGCCGTCGGGAACCAGGGATGCGTCCATAGCAAGCAACGGCAGCGTCTACACTAGAGAACTTCACTTCTCAGGTTCAAATGCCTTTGAGGCCTGAAGGCAATGGCTACTTCTCCCCCAGCGAGCGAGCCTACCTCCCAAGGCCAGCAGCATGTGGCCCAACGGCGGTCCGCTGCCATCCAAGAAGAAGACCCGCTTCATGTACAAAGAGATGTACTGTCCATAGTAGACTTCGTCAAAACTGCAAGTCAAACACAGGAAAGCCCACGGGCCGGTCAGCTCCAGCTCCTCACCTAAAGAACAGGTGCGAAGTACGGGGTGTTTCCAAAAGGCTTCAGGGGAGTGACCCTGTGCCCCAACTTGCGCCCTCTCCCCAGTATTGAGACACGGACAATCAGCCCTCGAACAGCATGAGGGCTGGGGCACCGACATAATTTACAGGTGACCTGTGCACACACACACCCCCACCAGCCCCAGGCTCACTTAGATGTGACTTGTTTGCCCGCTAGGGCCGCCAGCCCAAGGACTGCGAGTCTCGGCATACACGCTGCGGGATGTGAATCATCTCCCCAGGCACCGCTCACCCTCCGCCTAAGGATACTCCCAACCCTTGAGCTCGAGCTTCCCTAACAGCAAACACTCCCCGTGGGAGTGGGCCTGTGCAGTCACACCGGTGGTGTTCAAGGGTGAAGGGGGTCATGACCCATTCAGGGGGGCAGGGTGGGAAACCCTGGGCACGTGTCCCGATACAGAAAATTCACCGACACACTGGGTCCTGGGGCCGGGTGTCCATACACACCCTCTTTCTCCCCCAATATTTCAGGTGTGTGGCCTATCAGCCTCCCCTGCTGAAAGGCCTCCAGGGACCCTGGTTGGCAAGCCTGTGGCGAAGAACTGGAGTCAGACTGGGGACACCAAAGGAAGGGGTGCCGCTGCGCTAAGACGTGTCCACATCATGGGGTGGGGGTGGGGGGTGATGTAACGACACTAACTGGGTGTTGTCAATTTCTCAGCCGTCATCAGGGTACTGTGGTGAGTTTCCTATTCAGAACCACTGAGGTGGATGTGGCGAAGCCGGCTGATGGAGCCAGTGTCTCTGTCTCTGTTCTCTCCCTGTCCTGTGGGATCCATGTTGACGCTACAGGGCCCCGTGGAACGGAGCCTGTGGTTTTTGAGGCTGTAAATCTCCATGGAAACAGAACATCCTTCTCCTGCAGGGAGGCTGGTGGGTTTGAACTGTTGACCACTTCACCACCAGGGCTCCTTAACCGGGCTCCTACAGTGGTGGGAAGCTATTAAACAATTCTCCCTACTTCTGAATACATTTGACATTTGTCTTCCTCCCACAACCATAATGGGCCTCTCTTCCATGGCCCAGGGACACCTCCGATGGTCCTGTGGGGCAAGGGCTAAACTGAGCGTTCTGTGGGGACTGTTCTGGGAACAAACTGGCCTCTCCCCTTAAGGCCCAACGCACACATCACCTAGAAGCCAGGCACGTCATCCTCCTGCCAAAAAAGACTGAGCAAAGAAGAGTTCTTGGATCCCCGGGGAAGGGAGACGTGGGTCCTGTGGCTTACACGACGGCCCGAGGATAGGTGAGGCCCCACAGCCTACTCAGCAATCCCATCCCAGTCAGAGCCACGACATTCAGGTTGATGTCCGCTCTCACCACCAGCGGTTGCTTCAAAAATCCCAACATCTTGTAGAAAAGCAGGCTCAGGAGGGCGCCCTGCAAAAGGAGAAGAGTCGCCATCAAGGGACAGGCTACACAAAGGATCCCAAACCACCCTGGCTCCCGGATGCGTGGGCTGGGCTGGCACTCTGGGGATGCCCAGGAAGTCAGGCGGACCGTATCGCTAGTGGGTAGCTACTGCGAGTTCCCAAGCAGAGAAACAAGACAACACTAAGGTTAATGTAAAGGCTTTTGGGGAGGTGGGGGAGGTGGGGAAGGTGGGCACCACCAAAAGGATGGCATTCAGGACTGAGCGTTCCTGCGCTTCAACACCTGCGGACACTTCCTGGGGTGAGGGGTGGGGGACGAGAACCAGCTGCCATTGCGACAGGTGAGAACTACCTCCACAGTGCTATTTTTAAAGAGTACGCCAGTTCAAGTGGTATACATAGAGGGCGGCAACAGTGACAGTCTCGGGGTCTTGTGACCATTCCCACCCTCTTTTTCGGAGGTGCTCCTCTCCCACTGCCATCGACTCACTGGCCCCTCAGGTTCCTAGCTCACCTGTCAAGTTGTCGTCAATTTGATGCCACATGGGCAGATCTCAATAGAGCTTGATGCTCTGGGCAGACATTCTTGACTCGTTAAACCACTGTTTGGTTTTAAGGAGACCTCGGGGAATAGTTTTCGTTTAAGGGTTTAGGGATTATCTTGGAGCAATGGTTTTGGGGGTTCATCCTGACTCCCATGGGTCCACAAAGGCTGGAAGCCACGTCAATTTGAATTTCTGTTCTGCATGGTCCCTCTTTGGAACAGGGTTTTTCACCAGAATCGTTGATCGAAATCTTCAGGGATCTCCTGGCTTCCTGGCAAAGGAGGAGCCACGGGGTTGATTTCTCGGAGATCGATCACCAGGCCTTTCTCCGAAAGTTCCTACGGAGGACTCGAACTGGCCAGATCAACTCTTGGCATCATCAAAGGCCCCCTCCTGGGAGGACAGGTTTCCTTTGCCCCTCCCCAAGGCCACGCAGCATGACCACAAGTAATGCCCACTTTGGGCTGCCGCTGAGGTGCTGGAGCAACCACTTACATCTGTATGACCTCAACCTGCCTGAACCTGAGCCTCTCCATCTATCTGCCCAAGCGCCTCCCTTGACTCCCAGGGGCAGTACCAGGCCTGGGATCTCCATTCTGACCGGCAGGTGCAGCACTGGCCTCCTTCCTAGTTGGATCCTGCATTCCCCTGCCCCCATGCCCTACTGCCTTAAGGCTGCTTCAGGCGTGGTCCACCTTTCCCTACCCAAGACTGACCCTACTCTGGCCCTCCAGGTTACACCAACCCAGGACATCCCGGCCCCCTTCCTGGAGCTGAATCTGCCCCAATCCTCTTCTGTTCCCTGGGCCCTCAGCTGTCCCCTCTCCCAGTCACTCCCTTTCCCTCCCACAGGCCGAAACTGCCCCTTCCCGCGGGCTTCATCAGTCCTTAGGGGTGGGGCCGGGGGCCTCTTTTCGTGGGGGCTTAATCTGCCTCTGGGCGCCCCATTCTCACCCCAAGACTACATACATCTAGCTTCTGGGGCTCGCTCCTTCGCCTAAGCTACTTAGCTCGCGCCGCTCGCTTCTCGACCCGGTCCCTTTCCCTCCCTGGGGGTGCACTCGCTCCGGGAACCTCTCACCCCGCCTCCCACCCCACCTCTGAAATCTGCTCCGGGGCTCCCGTCCCGCCCCAGGCCTCCCCTTCCCACCCACCCCTGGGCCTCCCGGAGGCTCTTTCTCCCCGGGAGCCTGCATTTGAGTTGGGCGTTCCCGCCCCACGGCGGCATCGTCCTCCTGGCGCCCCCATCGTCCACCTGCAGCAGCACCTGGCCAGACAGCCTCTTCTTGCCCCCGCGGCTGCTCCTGCCCCAGGCCCCACCCCCCGACTCCGGCAGGGCAGGGGGCTTCCAGGCCCAGGGGCGCGCACGCGCGCTCGTCCCGCATGACTCCCGAGCGCCAACGGGACTCTGGTCCCCGGTGCCCCCAAACGTACTTGCTTTCCTCCAGGGCCCCTGCAGAGCCGCTCCCCGCGCCGAGCCGCGCGTGGAGGCCGACGGTTGGAGGCTCTCGCTGCACTCCGGGCGCTCCCCGTCCCGCTCGACACTCGACTCGCCGCGTCTGCGGAGCCGACTGGCCGCGGGGCGCCTGCGCGCTGAGTCCTCCGCGCCCGCAGGCTTCTAAGGGGTAAAACGCAGATCTCCCTCTCCCAAGGGGATTGCTCGCTCGCTGCTCTGGTGGAGACCTTTACTGACTCAGGACCGCGGGGTCTCCTGTTTAAAGTGTCTCTCCCACCGTCTTCTACTTGGATGAGCCCAGGGGCGGACTTCGGGAATTGTACCGGACACGCTCCTCTTTTAAAAGAACATCATGTCAGCTCAAAAACGGAAGTGAAACTTGGTTATGATGGCACTACAGGAAAGAGGACTGTGTCTTCCTTGCTTTCACGGATGGAAATTGGACTGTAATGGACTCAGCCCTCCACCCCCTTCAGCTTCTCTTTCCACACTCTGTAGAGCAGTCTGGACGCCTGGAGAGTAGATTTTAGCTTGCTTAATGGTCTCGCAGCTGGAAAAAGGACTGGGTTCATAGCAACTCTCAGCAGCGGCCTGCTTCAAACGGCCACACCTCAGAAACCTCTGGGTGAACACATTTCTGATTCCAGCCCATCAGTCCACCCCACTGCATGCTCTTAGGACTGACATTTGAAATGGATGTCATGAGTGCACTGCAGAGGCTGCACCCGGTGCCTGGCGTGTTGGATCAGCGACCCTATAGTACAGAGCAGAACCGAGCCTGTGGCTTTTCCAGACGGGAAATCTGAGGCCAGAAAGCCTCATCTTTCTCCTTCGGAGTTGTCTGGTGGTTTTGAACCACTAACCTTGTGGCTAGCGGCCCAACCCGTAGCCCATTACACTTCAGGGCTCACTTCTCTTCTCCACAGCCTGAGAAACCTGACTCATGCGGAGTAGGTCGCTGCTCTCCTCCAGCCAGGTTAACACAACCTCTTTTGGGCATCTCCCCTGCTGGTTACACTCCCTGCCAAGCGGTTCCCCCTTCCTGGTGTTCAAACTCACCAATTCAAGAGCCCAAGACCACCTCTTCTTGAATTGAGTGCATTTTCCCCAAATGATCACTGGAATGGTTGGGACCCTATGGCATTAGCTGACAGGAACACATCCCAACTGATGGATCATCCTTTTCCTCAGCCCTCACCCACGCCAACCCCCTAGTCTTTTTGTGCGTTCACACACAAGGACCAAAAGGACACTGCAGGACTAATACATTGAGTTATGGTCACTACTTGCAGGGCTTCTTCCCGCCCCTCACCACCACAGACTAGAGCCCTGGATGCTATCTACACCATTTATGGTTGTCTACGTTAGTTCTGCTGTACTCAGCATGACCCTCTCGCGACTCCCTAGGTTGTAGTGTGGAGAGGTCAGGGGCTCATCTGGGCCAGGGGATTAGGAGCACATGCGGCCTGTGCCTAGGCTCAGGGTGCAAATGAGGTCACCAGTGGCAGAAGAGGGTGTCTGTGGGCCCCAGGCGGCCTGTGTTGTTGCTTCTGCTTGTGCTGCTGTTTGCACCGAACCTTCTGCATCTCAGGTAAGCAGCAGTGACCGTGGAATTGGTGTGGCTACCATAGCTTAAAGGTCATGCCAATTATTTTTCCTCCTGGCCAAGAAAAACCTGGGGAACCAGGGTTCCTTGTGGGCAGCGTTGTTCATGTGGATGCCTGGCAGAACCCCAAGCACTACTTCAAGCCTCCGGATCCTTACTACACACGGAGGTGTAGAGAACCCGTGTTTTCAGAAGGAAGTCATGACTAAGGGTGGTGGTGTGTTTCCCTCAAAATCACACAGCTAGGCAATGGCAAACTGGGTACGACTGCATAAGCCCTCCTGCTCCATGCCTGGCTCACCCCATTTGCCCACCTAAAAGTGCACCGTAATTCTTCCTGCAAAATGCACGAGCAGCAGTCGCAGCATCACATGCCAAACCTCACGTGGATCTATCTCCTCTGCGCCCTGGGAAGGGGGTGCTGGGCATGTCCTAAGGCAGGCCAGAAGTGATCCCTAATGGTGGCTCAGCTCACGCGAGTGAGACTGGCAGATCAACTCATGTTACGAGCAGCCATGTAACCACAGCACTCACTCACCACCGGCTACCTAGGGGAACGGGAGACTAGGGTGATGGTCAAGGAGTAGAGAATTTTAAGGAGGCACCTCGATCACCGGTTCCAATCTTGAATGCCCCTTGATGTTGACTTAAGAGAACTCAAGAGCAAATGAAATGCAGTGGAGTTGAGTAGATGATGACTCACAGCTCGTGTTAGAGAACTGGTTTGCTCTGAACGGGGTTCTTGGCTGTAATATTGATGGAAGCAGATAGTCACAGCAGGCCAGCCCTCTGGTACCGTTTGGGGAGGAGGTGTGAGCTGTCAGCCTTCAGTAGTTCAGGGTGAACCGTTTTGAGACCTTTCAGTCGAGTCACTCAGCATTTCCACGGAAAGGGACAAAGGCCCATTCCTCTGGAAGACGCTCACCAAGTGACTGAGAAACCAAGGACGCTCAACCTGAGAAACCATGTTGGGCTTTATTTTTTTAGTTTTTTTTATTTAAATAAGGAGAATTCTTTCATATGGAAAGAGCTAGTACAATCACATATTTGAAAGGAGAAACAATAGGTATTGAACCTGGGAGAAGGGGCGGAGGGCGATTGCCACTACTGGCCTGGAGAATCCACGGTTCAATTTCCCTTCCAAGGTGAGTTTCCAAAAAAATATAAAATAATGTATAGACAAGTTGCACATGACAGCCATCGTCTGCCCTTTCAAATATCTGGTCTACATGAAAAGACGAAGAAAGGAAAGGCCAAAATAAACAGGAACAAAGGAAAGAATAGCAAACAAAACCCTCTGAAGAACCAACCCCCCACCCCCACCCCCACCCCAACCCTCTGGACTCTGCAAGGCAGGAGGGGCAAAGCTTTGAGTGCAGAATCCCCTTTAACCCATGGAAGGAAGCTGTCCACACACAAGCTTCGTAGACATCCCCACTCCGAGGCTTTGTAGAACGTGCCGAAGACGGTGTGCTGGGGCCCCTGTCGCCATCTTCCCGGCCTCCAGGTTGGGGTGGAGGAATCGGTTAGCCTGGAGGCCACCGGAGTCACGCACATTCAGGTGGTCCCATGGGCAGGAGGACGGGTCCGGCGGGGTTTCCAGAGCTCCACTCCTGCCTTGGAGGTGTGTCTGAGGCTAGGCTCACACTCGGAGGAGAGCTGGCTTTTCTGGAAGTCGGTTCCCATTCACCACAGAACACAACACAACACAAAAGCAAACTTTAGGGTCCTTGGTTGTCAAGGCCCCTACCATCGGCTCCTTTAACCCAGGCTTGCACTGCAAGGAGTAAAACGGGATGAAACAGAATGGAGAGGCCACATGCAAGTATTTGGCGGATGGGAACCAAACAGCAGGGGTTTGGCGTAGGGAGGGTGGGGGTAGGGGCTCTGCCAGAGTTGCCACACCATCACCAATCATCCAGAGGGCAGATCCAGAAGTATAGGAGGCATTGCTGGTGAAAATTGGTGCCCGTGGGAAACAAGTGCCCCAAGAAAAGGTTGGGGACCCGTTTTTTGTGAATGGGCTTCTCCCTAAGGACCCTGTAGGCAGAAACGTGTCAGCCCCAAGTTTTAGAACAATAATGATGTGAATAGAGAAGTGAGAGGGGCGGGAGAGGAAGTCCTCGGTGGGTGGGTGGTGCCCTTCAGACACACAGTCCTCTAACTCTGGAATCTCACTGGATAGGGTGATTCACGTGTTCTACACTGCTGCAGGCTCCCTGGCTGCCCAGCATCAAAAAAGGAGAGTGGTTTTAGCAAGCCAGAGTGCCCCGACCCCAAGCCTCCCAAGCAGCAGCAGACTGGAGAAAGTGCGGCCCCAAGCCAGCCCATGCCCCGGGGCAGAACCCTCTGCGGTGAGGATGGGAGTTTGAAACCAAACAAGAGCCTCAGTCCCAAGACCTTGAGCTTAGCTCTAGAACCACACGAAAGAAGAGAGATATTGCACCTTAAAACACCTCTGCACTAAAAACTGCATTTAATCAGACCAAGGAAGGGGTAGGGGTAGTGGGGAGGCCCACAAGCCTGGTCCCTGCCCCTAGAAAGTCTAATTTAAAATCTGTATCTTAGCGGGGAGGAGACCGCAGCTTAAGTCACATGGAGGTGGTGAACGCACTGTACTTCACATGCAAATCTGGGCCTTTCCTGCACAGAATTCAGACATTATATATATAAATAGAGCAGTGAAACATTTACTTTGTTTTCCACCTAGACCTACAACATCAATACATATAAATAAATTCTAGTGTTTTTTCTTTTTTGTCTTTATTTGGGGATGAGGAAGGAGAGGGCTCTATGATACGAGAAAAGGGCTGGAGAACAGGCGACCTTTTATTTCGCTTCTCAAAGTACTGTCTGTCCTTCTGACGGCAGGTGCACCTGATGTGTACATCCCGAGTTTGTAACAGCATCCAGGACTGCTCTGTCGAATTCCCAATGAGGAGAAAATCGGTTTTATTTTCCTTGGACAAGTAATTCGCATCGCATCTGCTCTGAGTGGGTCTGGATGCAGCACACTGTGTACAGGCAGAGACAGCTTGGTGTGGTTGCCGCAGACCCAGGCCCATCCAGGGGCAGGTTGGCAATGCCTGGAGGGGAGAGGAAGGGATGGGGAGGAGGGTGCAGGGTGTGGGCAGCGAGGGGTTCACCCTGGGGCCGGGGGTGGGGTGGGGGTAGGAAGAGCAGCTGAGGGGCACTGGGCAGATGGGAGGTGGGTGCTGGTAATGCCAAGTGAGTGGCCCTTCCGTGAGGTACTCCAGAGAGCATGTTCAGGGGGCAGAGAAGAGAGGCAGGCCTGAGGGTGATGAGAAGGGGAGTCACTGAAAGAGAGATTTAAGCAGTAAAGTATCTGCCGATGAAACCACCCCTTCCTTCCCCCGGTTGGTACCTAGGTCTTTGTAAGTACTAGTAAGTTCTTCATTCCCC